CATGCTCAGCTCCCGCGAACCCTACACCCCAAACCCGAAGCCCTATGTACCCTAGAAGGGGCCCCCACCCTGTAATAGTGACTATAAGGATTATATTAGGGCCCTATTATATTCCTATTATACCACTATTACAGGTTGGGGGCCCCTTCTAACCTGTACCCCAAACCCGAAACCCTCAACCCCAAACCCTAAACCCTATACCCCAAACCCTAAACCCAAAACCCGAGACCCTCAACCCCAAACCCTAAAGGCCGGCGTAGCCGAGCGGCACTCTCCCTTTTCACATGCGGCGATGGCGCTGCTGTAGTGGATGTGATTGGCCCGGAGAGAGGCCTGGAGGGTCTAGGGTAGAGTCTAGGGTTTTAGTGGTTTGGGTTTAGTGTTTAGGGTTTAGGGTTTAGTGTTTAGGGGGTGGTGGCTTTTAGGGTTTAGGGTTTTCCGCGCAGGTCAGAGGTTTACCGTTTTTGGTCAAAATCAAACCCCCCAGCTGCCTCGTCCATCGATGCAAAAAGGTGCAAGGAGAGTTGCCACTCTGTCCCCTTGGCGCAAGCCTTCAGTGCCTTAGGTCTCGTCGACGAAAGCCCCGAGACCCCGAGACCTGTATTCTACGGTTTAAGGTTTAGGGGTTGGGGATATGAGAATCGTGAAGCCTAAACAACACCAAAAACCCAAAAAAACTCCGAAATCCTGAACCCTAAACCCTAAACCGGAAATCCTGAAGCCCCCTAATTCGGACTCGCCCTTTTGGGATGTCCCATACATTTCCGAGGCTGACCATGGTGCCGCACTGAAGTTGTGACCATCCGGAAAGTCCTGGATCTGGGTTGGGCTTACGATTGTGAAGGGGTTCAGGGGTTTAGGGTTCTGGGGTTTAGGATTTCGGGGTTTAGGGTTTAGGGGTTTAGGGGTTTAGGATTCAGAGGGGTGTAGGGTTTAGGGCTTCAAGGGTTTAGGGCTTTAGGAGCTTAGGAGAACAGCGACTACGACTGCGAGTGTGGGGTTTCAAGCTGTTTAGGATGTAAAGGCTCAGAATAGCCCAACAGCCTTATATTATATAGTATGGTCTTTGGGCCCAAAAACCTTATAATATGAGTCCTTACAGCCTTAGGGTTAGGGTGTAGGTGACCATCGGGAGCTTCCTTGAACAGCAGCAGCGCCTGCCGCCACGAAGCAGAGGATACGCACGCCTGCAGCGGCCGTCCGGGCGTTCCGACAAAATCATGTTGCAAGGACTTGCATAGTCTTAGGGTGTACCTAGACCCTGAGGAACCTACCTGTTTAGGGTTCCCTAATATGATTTCTATATATGTAAGCCCTAAAAAGGTAGGTCTTTTCGGCTACAGGATTCTGAGTTGAGGTTTCAGGTATCTGTGCATGTAAGTTGTGCGTGTCAGGATCGCTAATTAACATACACTCTCTCCACACTAACGCACCAAACCCAAGTACCCAATTATTAAGTCCGTTAGACCCTCAGGGTCAGGCCCTGCAACCCCCAACCCCGAAGCAGAACCCGCACTCCAACTGCGCAACTCTAATTTTCAACTCTGCAAAGGTCACCGACCGCCAAGGCCTCAAACCCTGAAGCCAGAAATCCTGAAGCCCGACCTGAATCTCAGAGACTCCAATATCCCTTAATTAAGGAATATACCTTTATTCATATTAGGGATCCTACTCTAATTTATGGTATAATCCTTAATGAATTAAGGGATATTGGAGTCTCTTAGATCCTAAAAGAATCCAGATGAAACCCTGACTTTGCTCGGTTTCGGGATGATGAAAGGAAACCCCTGTAGAGTATATTGACAAGAACACAGCAAGTAAGCCCGAAACCACAAAGAAACATCGAAACCCAAACCCTTAAAAGAAAACCCTAAACCCATCAACACCCACACCCTCAAAAGAAAACCCTAAACCCCTCAAAACCCACACCCTCAAAAGCCCCACCCTGATTCCGTATCCGATGTGGATCGGGCTCAACTTGAAGTTCTTCTCCTCCCTGAGGATGGCCAGGACCTCTTGGGTTTTGTTTTGGCATTCGGACTTTAGGATTTAAGTTCGAAAGTTTAGGGCTTTAGGGTTTTAGGGTTTAGGGCTTTAGGGTCTTAAAGTTCGGTGTTGGGGTTCTCAGGGTTGCGGGTTTGGGGACGTGAGCTGTAGGTCTTACGATGTCAAGATTAGTCTTAAACCCTAAACTCTAAACCCTCTGAGGTCTGTAGGATTTAGGAGTTCAGGCTCAGTCTTTAAGGGATTTAAAGGTTTTGGGTTTAATCCAGGAACCTGATTAAGAAGCCCGTGGCCCAAGAACCCCCGATAGATTAGGATTCATATAAGGAACCCTAATAAGGACCCAAGGTTTCTTAGTCAGGTTCCCACGTTCGGGCTCAAGGAGCTTACTTGGAGGGTCGGTGGGCTTAGTAAGTAGGTAGTAAGTAGACTTATAATTACCCTGAAAGGGACCCAATTGGGGTTATGGTACTTATAAGTCCCTAAAACAACCAGTTGCTATGTCCCCCGACCCTCCAAGTAGGGGTCAGAATAAGAGAGCTCCGCGCCTCACAGGTGAGGTCACCCCTCTTGCTGGCGTTCCTTACTTTCCAGAAGAGGAACTAAGCAGCTTGGTTGGGCTGCGGGCGAGGGCCTAAGCCCCAAACTACGGTTGATGATATAAATCCTGCATTACCCATAATAAGGAGTATGCCATAATTCCCACAGTTTAGGGTCCTTAAGGTAATGCAGGATTTCCGGAAAATGCATTTACTCCGGGAAGCAGGTTTTGTGTCGAGGAACTGCTCAGTTGCACAGCTTCTTCGTAAAAAACCAGGGCATTCAGTCTAACACGGCTTCGAAAGATCCTAGATAGCTTTAACGTAGCGCTAAAACTCAAACACTAGACTGAGACCCTAAACCGTTAAACCTAGACCCAAAACCTAAACCCTGCGATCCCAATACTGAAACCCTAAACCCTGAGCCCTAAAAAAGCGAAGACTCAGCTGCGCCAAGACGTGCGAAGCAGCAGCGGGTGCCTTGCACCAATGCGGTAATTTCGGCTCAACGACTGCCTGCACCTTGCGGAGGGGGGGGGCACGTAGCTAGGGTTTAGTTGGGCACTGCACCCCTCCATATTAGGGGCTATATTACGGGTTAAGACAAAGTATGTAACAAATATGATCAACTGTTAAAGAGCGGGGGCCCGTAGACAGGGTTTGGTTTGGGGTTTAGGGTTTATGTTTGAGGCTGCTTAAGGGCTCACTTTAGGACAGATGGGTTTCGGGTTTTGTGTTGAGGGTTTGGCAAGATTAGGGATTAGGGCTGTACAGGGCTTATGGAATTCTTACAAAGGCTTAGGCTCAACATGAAGGGGGCATCGGACTTCGTAACTGGGTTCTACGTAGAGGTACGAATACTTTAAGTGACAATGGAACCCAAGACCCAAGCACTGCTGGGGTTGTTGTAGGGTTTAGGGCTTAGGGTTCAGGGGTCTACGGTTTAGGGTCGAGGGCTTTAGGGTTTAGGGTTTCGGGTTGATGATATAAATCCTGCATTACTTTAATGACCCTAGACTGTGGGAATCATGACACATTCCTTATATTAATGTAGGAACCTGATTCAGAATCCTTGGGCCTTTATTCGGGTTCCTTATGTGAATCTTACCATTTTGAGCTGATAGGCCCAGGGCTTCGTAACCAGGCTCCTACATTATGGGTAACGCAGGGTTCATATCAAGCCCTAGGAGCCCCTTTAGGATTCCTGCCAGGGTTCCTGGGAGGATTCCTTTGGGGGGTCCAGGCGCGCAAATAGTATATATGGGAGTTTCCGAAAATTAAGGATACCATATTTTGTGGTCCTTACAATGAGGATCCTACTATTTAGGGTACGATATAAGGGTCCCCTGCTCCCATATCTTGGCCCATAAATCACGAAATAGGCACTTGTTAAGGCCAAGGTATATACTGGTTGGGCACATGGACCCTCCGGGTACCAATAAGCAAGCAGTTGCTCCTACTGATATAGGTTACGACACACACCGGCCCATAACTTTTTTCTTGGTGCCCACCTCGTCTTTGCCCGGATGAAGCTTCACTTTCAGCAGACGATCGAGAATCTTAGCAGGGCCACCATCAGCACCCAGAGCCGGATAACTCCGAGCCCGCACACGACTGAGACGCATTGGGGGTCCCCGAATTCTGCAGCTTGACGACTCAGGAAGCAAGCGAGAGCCAGAGCGCATCAAAGACAAGTCGCTTTAGATAACACAGAACCATCTGTTTCACCTAAACGAATTGTCGTTATAGTTTTGCACCCTAAGGCTCCTGGACCGTTGCAGCGAGATCCCGAACCCTAGCCCCCGATGCCGGAACCCTCCCCCACAAAGCCCAAAACCCTCTTAACTTGTAGAAATACGTATATGCCAATAGCAAAGCCGAAAAATATGAACCTCAACGCCACCGCAAACTTCGGAAAGCCTCAACGTCAAAGGCACAACGGGTCACTGCAAGCCGCGGAACCTCAAACCCGAAGCCCTGAATACACTGAAGCCCTGAAACCTAACCGTACCATGCCGTAAACCCTGAACCTTAAACCGTAAACCCTAAACGCCCAACCCTAAACCCCCCGCAGAACGCTCAAAATGTGTGAACACAAAGACTTGACTTTGCCTGCAAGCGCCACCGGTCGTGACAGGTATGAAAACTGTGACTTAATTGCGGCTTTAAAACACATCTGGAGCTTTGTAGGTACACCGTAGACCCTCCACACCCCCCCAAGACCACAAACCCGTAAAGCTGTAAGCTTGTGAAGCCCAAAACTTCTAAAACCCACAATCCTAACTCCCTAAACCCTAAACCCAAACCCTAGCTGGAACCCCAAAGTTGCGAACATTCGGCACATCAAAACTTACCCTTGGTTAGTAGGGAATGGAAGAATGGTAGTCATAGTAGTTCTGATTGTACCCCATTCCTCCATTCCCTACTAACCAAAGGTATCAAAATCGAAGGCGAGACCTCCGGCCCGCCCCGCCATTCCTGGTGAAGGCCGCGGCTGCTTTGTGGTTTACGGCTTATAAGGTTTAGGGTTTAGGCTTTAGGGTTAAGGGTTTAGGCTTCAGGGTTTAGGGTTTAGGCTTTAGGGCTTTGGGCTTTGGGTTTTGGACTTGGGCTTGTTATGTCCCTCCAGCACCCGGTTTTGCAGGCAAGCCCAAGATTGCGCCGAATCCTAAAGCCTTTACAAACCGAAAACCCGAAACTCTAGATCCCTACACCCCAAAACCCTTTGCTCCGAAGAAGAGCTAGAGGGATTCGGGTGGAGCCGTCGGACGACTTGAGGGCTTTAGGGTGCAGGGCTGTGGCTCAGAACCCGAAACCCCTAAACCCCTAAACCCCCAAACCCTAAAGTTAAGACCCTAAACACCAAAACCCCTGCATCCCAAACCCTCAAACCCCTAAATCCCAAACCCTTAAACCCTAAATAGGGTTAAGGCTTGGGCCTAGGGTGCCGTGCCTGAGCCAAGGAGTTGTCATCATCGCCGATGCCGCCGTAGAAGCCTGTTTCAGTGACTTGGGCTTATACAGGTGTTAAGGGTTTAGGGCTTGGGGCTGCTTTAGTTGAACACTGCCGGCTGTAAGGGCTACTATAAGGGGGTTCTCATATAGAAGCTTAAAGTATGACAACGTCATCTCTTAGGGCTCCGTATGATAAATATGCCATAATCACCACCCCCCAAAACCCGATTCCAATTCTTAATGCCCCCGTACTAATTGCAAGAGTCGGTCATCGTACACACCTGCTGTGCGAATTCATTGAGGCCGTCGGGGTTGGGGATGGATATAGACCCGTGATGGATTAAAGCCCCCCGTACCTTAAAAGGAATGAGAATAAAGAGCTTGAGGCCTCTCAGGGGCACCAAAGACCAAGCAGAGCTACATCGAAGCCTAAATGCTCCCTTTACACTCTGTGGATATGCAGCAATGAGATCCCAATCCCTGAATAGAGACGCCTGAACTTCAGCGGGGAGGCGGGATCCCTTTTTATATAGGGGCCTTAATCATTAGAACAAGGTTTTGGGGCCATTATACTATAAATATAATAAGGAACCCCCAAAACCCGATTCTAATTATTAAGGCCCCTATAGTAGGCGCGTGCTGTTTGTGCTGTTTACTGCATTCTTTGTTGCCTTCTTCTCGGAAAGCGCAAAAATGAGGAAGGCGCCGGAGTCCCGCCAGACCCGTTTCCAACAAAAAGCCCAAAGAAAGAATTCCACAAACGCAGCACAGTGGGAAACGGCAACGCAAAAAATGCAACACGAAGTCTCACAGCACGCGCAAAGTTGCGCTGGATTTGCCATTGCTTTCTGGGCTGCCTGGCGGCCAAAAGCTTGTGGCTTGTTGGCCAAAAGCCGTTTAAGCCCTAAAACCTGACAGCCAATAGAAGTCCGACCCTCAAGCCCAAGCGCCGAACGCCAAGATCCCTAAATCCCTTATAAAGCCCAAACCCTTCAAACTCCTACATAAACCTTTATTTAACCCGAAACTTCAAGCTTCGCGCTTCAACAAGCGAAGAGGTCAGGGCCTACAAGCTCTTACCGGAAGCTCAGGACCCCGAACCGTTGCCAAGACCCTGATTTCCGAAAAAAACCCCAAACCCCACCACAAACCCAAAAAGAGTCCTTTAGATGTCCTACAGAAGTCCCTACAGAACCTGTGCAGGATATAGAACTATATGGGAACCCCAAAGAACCTGACGGAACCCTATGTAACACAAAAACCGAAACTTAAACCCTGAGCAAGGCCTCCTGCATCCCTTGGGCTGCTCTGAGCAGGTATCCTGCGGAGCTTCTTGGCTGCGCGGCTTCGTGGCCTGAAGTTCCTCTAAAGTAGATTCTATAGGGGTTTGGGATTTAAGGATTAGGATGAACAGCTTAAGGGATTCAGGATACCTGTAACGGCTCGGATTTGATGGGTCTAGGAGCTTTGGTTTAGGGTCTGGGGTTTAGGGTTTGGGGGTTTTAGGGTTTAGGGGTTGAGGAGCTTTGTGAGTCTGAGGAAGGGGTTTAAGGCTTTATGATCTAAAGGATATCGGAGGCAGAACCTACTATTTTGTGGGGCCCCTATGAATTCCATAACAGGGTTTCTCATAAGAACCCACCAACTAGTAGGTTTTGGTAGGTTAAGGTAAACTTGAAAACCAAAGCACCATTCGGGCTCATTCATGGCGTCCTGCTGCCGGCTTCATGGCGTTCCGGTGGTGGGCCCGGAGGTCCTGGCAATGAAGGCACATGCGCTCACCCTAAACCCGGGTTTAGCATTTATGGGTTTAGGGGATTAGGGTTTAGGGGTTAGGGTTATATAAGGGTTTAGGGATTGAAATCCTACACACGAAATTTCTCTGGGGGGCTTAAGCTCAGGAGGGGCTGTCTGTGGTAACACCCTATAAACCCTTAAACCCTAAGAAACAACAACCCTGAATCATCCTAGACCTCATGTAACCCTAAACCGCACAGGCCCTCAACCCTAACCCTGATTTAGCAAATGCTGCCGTGTCTGTTCGGTATCGCTGCAGCTTACAGAGCTGCCATGGCATGCTACGAGGACTCACTATCAGGGCTCGTTTAAGGGTCCCAGGCTTCCTTTGAGGATTCCTAAGGGCCTTAAGAATCAGAACAGGTTTTGGGCAAAATCTCGTATATTTAAGGTATCATGCAATAATGAGGGCTCAACTAAGGTATACGGTATAGGATTTTAGGGTTTTGGGGTTTGGGGAAGTATCATATATCAGGTCAATTGCCAATTAAACCCACGCCAAAAGACACACTCTGGTAGGGCCTTTTTACGGTTCATGGGTTTCGGTCTAGGGTCGTTTAGGATCCGAACGTGATAATTAAGTATCACCGGAGGGATGAGGTCCAGGTTGTCGTCTGCCACTCCCGATTCCAGCGAGCTCGTCATGGCGGGAGCGAGGCTTCCAGGGATCTCGAGAGGCAAAATCTATACTGAACTTAGAACCCTAGCAAAAAATAAAATTTGAGCTGCTTCTTAGGGATTATAATAACCAAAAATAAAAAGAAATATTTCTAAGCACCCCTGAGAAAATGCACTCAAACACACACGGTTGCACTCAAGGCAAGGCTGCAAGGCTATCCAGACAGGCAGCGGTAGGCTGCAGAGCTCCGCAAATCACTCACTCCGGGGATCCTGCGTTGAACCGGCGCGGGCGACGCTAGTGCGTCGTCAAACTTCGGTTCGACGATGGGCTCATTCGTGGTTTCTATGTCTCGGACATCCTTTCTCAGAACCTGCAGGTTCTTTGGCTCCATCTTGAACTCAGCCCTGCTGATATCAGTTCGCCTGCTGTGTCTCTGGCTGCAACTGGGACTGCGCCTGCTGGGCTCGATGTTTAAGGTGCAGCATATCAGTTCCTGCGAAAAACTCCCACGATATATACTGCTTGAATCTCGTGAAATTAAACACCCACCTGGCATGTCTGCTTCTTTAGCCCAACCTGAACAAGACGTTGTCCCAAAGCGAACCAGAGCGCATCTGCACCGGAGGACAGCAACTCTGGAGCATAGTCGAGACCGTGCAGGAGAACCCTGAACCCAAAATCCCTAAACCCACAAGAAGAGACCTGGACGAAAACCCTCAACACTAAAACCGACTGTCTAGTGCTTAGTAGGGAATGGGGGAATGGATCCCTATTGTAATCCCTATATAATCCCCGATAATAGTCTCCATAATCCATTTCCCCCATTCCCTACTAAGCATCGGACAGCCAATGAACCCTAAACCCCAAACCAACCCTAAACCCTAAACCCTAAAGCATCTCGCGACCCCATCGCGGCCTCGGAGCATCGCCTTTGCAACCAGTCGCACGGTCGGGGTTTTGGCTGGATTGCTCTTGTATGTCGAGGAAGAAATACGTATACATACATACGTACATACATACATACATACGTAGATAAATACACACATGCATGCATAATGCATGCATACATTGTATATAGATATGCCTATATATATATATATATATATATATATATATATATATTTATTTATTTATTTATTTATACACGTATATGCTGTGTGTGTGTACATATTAGATATACATACTGAGGGTCTAGGGGTCGCTGTCTTAGGATGGCCTTTGATGCTGACCGACTTCGGTTTTAAGGCATGGCTTCATACAAGACTTGAGGAAGTCACGAAGGTGCATTGGAAAAATTGGACACACTAAGGCCGCCAAAGTGGGCCATACTGGGAAAAGACCTTCCGCACGTGTGTATGGAAGGGCCGTAGTAAAAAAGGGCCTTGACCATTGGAATAGGGTTTTGGGGGCTCCTTATTATAAACATAGTAACATATACCTCGTCAAAGTCACTTTGTCGAAACAGGCGAGCAAGGCTGGGCAAACAGGTACGGAGGGGTTTAGGGTTTAAGGGTTTCGGGTTTAAGGGTTTAGGGTTTAGGGTCTAAGGGTTTAAGGCCTAAGGGTTAAGGGTTTAGGGTGTGAAAAGATCCAAAAAGACGGCAGAGCTAGCAGAAACCCTAGAGTTGGGGCAAAACCCTGACAAACTTAGGAGTGCTGAGACGGATCTCTAAACCCTAAACTCGTAAAGTCCTAAACCCTAAACCCCCCAAACTCCAAACTCCTAAACCCTAAACTCCTAAACCCTAAACCTCTAAACTCCCTAAGCCCTGAATTCATAAACCCGAAACTCCCAAACCCTAGACTCCCAAACCCTAAGCCCTGAATCCCTAAACCCGAAACTCCCTAAACCCTAGACTCCTAAACCCTAAACTCCCAAACTCCTAAGCCCTTTATCGCCTGCGTGGGCTCGCCGTCTAAGAAGTGGCGCCCCGGTTGCAGCGGTGGCGGCGGCGGGGGCCTCAGATCTCCACCAGATCTTCCACGCCCTTTGATTTAGAAGTCTAAAACTTCGTGATATAGTATGATAGAGTATCATAAAATATATTGTGAAATAGTCGGATCTAGTATACTATATTAATTGTGATATAGTATGATAGAGTATACTATAATGTAGTACACTATAATGTGTAATATTGTGTCAGATGATATAATTCAGAACTTCCATGTCCTTTGATTGGGAAGTATATGATAACAAATTATATTGTAATACATTGTAGTATAGTGCGCTCGTGGTTGTTGGCGACATCAAGATTTCTGGCGGGGTCCCGGTGAAGTGTAATGTAACTTAGTATAATGGAATCCAGTGTATAACACTAAAATGGAGTAAACTACATATGGTTGATTAAACCAGGGGATCCATACTTTCGAAGTTGGGATGCTTTGGGCTTTTGCGGTTTTGTTTGATAATGTGCAAGGTTTTGCGGGTTCTTGGGATATAGGGTTTAAGTTTTACCGGGATCAGGGTAGTTTGGGTTTGGGGTTTGTCGTTACGGGGGTTTGGGTTTTAGGATGTTGGGTTTAGAGGTTCGGGATCAGGGTTAAAGTTTCAGGGTTCTGGACTGCTGCTATGAGGGCTTTCATTGTTGTTTTAGCGTTCAGGGTGTAGGTTCCACTTATGCACTTATGGGCTGAGAAGGTAACCTTTAACCTCATGGGGGTTATATAATCCTACCATAATTAAAAGGGTTAACCCTGTTTGGGCTAGGGTACTCGACCCCTAAGTTCAGTGTCGAACGAGGTTAACCCTAAGGCTCAAAATAGCCCAAAAGCCTTGTATAGTATGGTCGTTGGGCCCAAAAAGCTTATAATATGAGTCCTTAGAGCCTTAGGGTAAAGGTCCGATCGAACGCGGCGGTTTGGGGAACTGGGTCTGTGGAGGAGTTCTGGGTGCTCGGAGCTCGGATGGGGGGCATCGGGGTTTGAAACCTAAACCTTAGAAGGCCCCCCACCCTGTAATAGGAGTTTTCTTAGGGTCCTGTTATATTCTTATTGGACCACTATTACAGGGTGGGGGCGGCCTTCTAACCTAAACCATCCTAAACCCCAAGTAGCGGAACGGGGCTTGCGCCAGCAAGTAGTTTCTGGGAGGGGCTTTTTGGGCTTTGTATGCGGATTCATGTTCAAGGTACGCGTGGAGTTTCCTGGGTTTAGGGTGTCATGGGCTGCATTGAGGGTTCTCACTTCCACGTCCCTGATCACTGCCATTGCATCTTCGCTTCAGTGTGCATTGTACAGGGTCGAGGTTTGAATGAAGGAGGCCCAAACCCTGAAGCCTCATCCCTAGAAGCCCCACCTATCCCAAACCAAAGCCCCAAGCCCCAAAGCCGCTGGGAGCCGAACCCGGGAGGCCCCGAAGGTGGCCCGGGAGGCCCGGGCGGCCCCGGAGGGCCGTTGAGCCAGGTGGAGGGGGCGCTGTTGGCATCCTGGCTCTTAACTTACCTTAGGTTAGTAGGGAATGCAGGAATGGGGTACACTTGTAACTACTATTACTACCATTTTCCATTCCCTACTAACCAAAGGTAAGTTAACGGCTTTTAGGGTTTAGGTCTTGGGGTTTAAGGCTTTTTGATTTCGGTGTAGGGTTTAGGGTTTAGGGTTTTTTTAAGGCATTGGGTTTAGGTGTTAGGGTTTAGGGTTTAGAAGGGCGTTTAGGGAGAGTTTCAGGTACGGCTTAAGGTTTAGAGCTGAAGGGTTTAGGATTTTGTTTGGGTGATTTCCCTGAGGCTTCAGCAACTCTTGAACTTTCGGTTGTTTGTGGAAGCCTAGCCTATACCAAAGAGCCGACTTCAGCACACGCACCCAACTCGCCCCACAGCTAGGGTGGGGTTCTTGAAACCGGTGCGAACCTATTCGGGTCGTATGATGAGGATCTGAAAGCCCCAACCCCTAAACCTGAGACACTCATAAAACCCTACCTCTTCTGCGTCGAAAGAACCCTTAAACACACCTTGTCCATGAATCACAAAACCTAAACCCCTTAACCCTGAACCCTAACCCCTAAACACTAAAGCCCTAGGCCCTAAACACTAAACCACTAAGCCCTAAACACTAAACCTTCCCGAACCCTGTCCTGCCAGGACGCAGGATAGGTCCCGGCCATGTGAGGGTGATCCCGAAGACCTGAGCCGGACTTCTGCTACAAGCGGTTTAGGGTTTTGGGTTTTGGGGTTTCAGTTTTGGGTTTCGGGCTTCGAGTTTTGAACTTAGGGTTCAGGTTTAGGCTTGGGGGTTTTGGGTTTAAGGTGGTGGTTCTGGGCCTAGGGTTATTGCTTAGGGCTCTTGACGAGCTTCCAAAAATTCAAAGGGGTTCTGCAGAACTCCTCGGCTTTCTAAAGTTACGAAAACAGCTCAAACCTATATAAACCTTAAACCCTAAACAAAGGTTTACATCGGGGCTTTTGCACGAGGTCTGAACCATTCACTCGGCAATATCCAAAGTACCGACTGAATAAGCACATGGGTTTAGGTGATTGCATGGTTGTACTGTGGAGAGCCTTTAACATTGTCAGGAACTTGCAGCCTGAACACTTAACTTCAAATTAAGACAAACTTCCGTGCGACATGAAGCCCTTTGCACTTCACGGACTTTCTGAACCCCGAGATAAAACCCTAAACCCTCACAACCCACGCGCTTTAACCCTAAATCCTGAAACCCTAAGCCCAGGCGATTCAATCTTAAATCCTGAAACCCTATACAGGAATCCCCAGGATTAAGGCCAAATAGTGCAGGGATTCGCTATACATTACTCGTAAGGATTGAGACTCTTGGGTTTCCAATTTGGGGGCTTCTACTGTAACTCCTCAAGCCCTAAAGAGTTCAGCCCAGTGACCGCTGCGCAACAGAGCCACCGGGCCCTGACCTCAGGATTCTTGTAGGAATACGCAAAGGTCCAGAGATCCAGGGTTCAAATGCAATGCCCTTCTCCTTGCATCCACGGGTCCGCCCCGGTACGAGGCTTGCGCAAAAGAATGACTGAGGCAGTTGAACACTCCAGCCAACATTATCAGCTCAACATGGCCCAGGTTGAGGGTTTAGGGTTGGTTGCGGCCTTGGGGTTCTGTGGGTCCTCTCGCGTGGTTCGTTGTTTTCCCCGTTTCGGTACCTTCCAAAACAGCTACTAAACCCTAACCCTAAACCCCTAAACCTTTCAAAGCCTAAAGCCTGATCCTAAAGCCTAAACAGTTCTATCCTAAACCCAAATCTCCGTTTCTTGCAAATGCTCACCGAGGCCTCGACCCGGGGGTCCGGGGGGACCTGGCGGCTGCAGTGGCGGCCCGGGGGGACCCCGCGCCAGCCGGTCCTGGGCGAAAGTTCGGGTTTCTTTTAAAGCTGAAGGTTTAGAATTTAGGGTTTCTCGAAGCTTGCTTAAAGGGTTGCTTTGAAGGTTCTTCCACACTAGAATGATTGAGGTTTAAACGGTTTAAGGCTTCCAAGGCCATCCCTAACAATATCGACGGCCAACATGCAGGTTCTTCTTCCGTCAGTGAAGCGCTGCGGACAGATGCCCGAACGGCGCTACATCTCTAGATCGAAGCTGCCGATGTGAGGGCCTACTGCAACTTGTGGGCCTCATCTACATTGATGGGACAGCTCAATTTTCAGGCTTCTAAAGCCTAAAGGAAGGGTCCCTTAAGTGTTCCAAAATGCCAGCCGAAACTCGCCTGAATAGACCGGCCATGCTCAACACTCTTCGCAGGAAGTAGGCTTTCTCCAAGGCACAAGAGCTTGAGCATTGAATCCTTCAGGCGTGCCAAGCCCTTCACCTGGAAAAGAATCATGCGTGACGCTGCACCACTCTTGGATCTGCGATTTAAGCTCCAGCAGCGCCTGCTGCCCCCCCGGTCAGAGGGCGACTGGGGAATCGCACAAGGGCGAACATCCAGCTGTCGTGGTGACGTGGTGACAGAAAGTAAGGGAAACCAAGAGCCAACCCAGGGTAAGGGACTGAACCCAAGCGAAGAAAGGCCGTGCTCTGGGGAATCCGACAAAAGAGAACATCCGGCCACAAGATTGACACTGCAAGGCTAAGTTTAAAGGAGATGCAGCCGAAGCAACGGGCGGAGCTAATCCCCGAAAGAATACGTGCATCAGAGTAAGCAGGCAGCTCAGGCCTCTACTTTACTAGCTGTTCATTCACAAATTTTGACTGTCTACAGTTAGCAGCAACGAAGCGACAAGAACAAAAATACTATAAAATACTGTGCAGCTTCTAGGGTCAGCACTGCTGTGCCAGGATTGCCAACTCTACGGCTGAAGCACAACAAGCTGGATCCACCTGAACCGCGGATGCCAAGGGACTTTGCCCCTGTTCGAGCTCTCGCACCATGTCTTCTTGGGACCCTTCCTATGGTGCTTTGCCCGTGCAGAAATGAAGCTGGGTTGCAGCTAAGGACCAACAGTAACAAGCCGTTGATGATGCCGGCCCAGGCACAGGCACTTGCACAGCCTGGCGTCACCCGCCTAAGTTGCACCAGTAAAGCAAATCAGGCACGAATCCCATCAATCAGGGAAACATATTGTGCATCCACTGCACTTCACCGCCCACCGCCGAGCCAGAGTCGCGCAACTTTAAGCAACCACCATTGGACTCGGAGACTTGCACCAGGAAAGTCTCTGGGCATTTCTCATTGTGCAGCACCTGCCAAATTTCCACAGCTCAAAAGCCATGTCGCCACGTACGTTTAGAAGCTAGTCATGTGCTTTCAAGCAGAATCCGCCAACCCTTGCTTTGCGGGGCGTGTGCTGAACGAAGCCACCCCCCGGTGCCAGACTTCCGATTGAGACCCACGACCCACAAGCCCACAAGCTTCCACCAAGTCCATGGACCAAGTAGTAGTCTGCCTGGTCGTGGCAGTGACCCTATTGTGCTGGGGCATTTCAAGCTTTCTGCCTTTGGCCTGGAGTTTGCTGGAAGTCGGCTCCTTCTACTCTCCAGGGGGAAGCCATGGTGAGGCAAATCTGTGACTTGAACTTGCCTCTGTGGCAAAGGGCTGATGTGGCTCTAGTAAGTTGACATTGTGAACGGTGCCGCTCACGTCTTGCCTCTGGTCTTGGAATCCGCCTCCCCGTGCGGATTCAAAGTTTTCCGAAGTCTTGGCAGGCGACTATGCCGGGCCTTCCGGGCCCTGGTCCCGAAATGCAGAACTGCCTCGCTTTAGTGGTCTTGGAGTGGCCCTGTGATCTTGGGAGTGGCCTTGGGGTGGAGTTCACATCTTAGGGCTTCTGGGGTTTAGGGCTTAAGTCTTCGGGTCTCGGGGTCGGGATTTCAGACTTAGGATCTAAGGAGGACAAGGACTTACGGTCTAGGGCTTCTATACTGAACTTAGAACCCTGGCAAAAGATGTAATTTTAGCTGTTTCTTAGTAATAACCGAAAACTAACCCCTAGGGCTTGGAGGACCTCGGATATGGAGCTTGGGGTTTCGGGTGTTTGGGGGTTTCGCTCCAGAGCCTCAACCCTAACCCTAAACCCCATACACTAAACCCCTAAAACCTTATAGATCCCTTATAGGACCAAGAGTTTCGAGTTGAGCCTGGTGGCCGTATTCCAGGTTATTTTCTTTTAGGGGGTCGGATACGATTCCAATACGATTCACTGATACGACCGGCGTATTTCCCATTTCTGGAGATACGGTTCTGATACGATTCTGATACGATTTCGATAGGGGGTTGAATACGATTCGATTAGGATACGATTTCCTCTCCAACCCCCTATTTTTCTTTGGGAAGGAGCTAAAAGGCGATTTTGGCTCCTCCCCAAGGAAAAACAAGGGGTTGGACAGGGGTTTGGATACGATTTCGTATCCGAACCCCTATCCAACCCCCTATTTTTCCAAGGAAAAATAGGGGGTTGGATAGGGGTTTGGATACGATTTGGATACGATTTCCTCTCCAACCCCCTATTTTTCCTTGGGAAGGAGCTAAAAGGCGATTTTGGCTCCTCCCCAAGGAAAAATAAGGGGTTGGACAGGGGTTTGGATACGCGATTGTGGCTCCTCCCCAACAAAAAATAGGGGGTTGAGGTGGGGTTGGGATACGGTTTCGTATCCGAACCCCTATCCAACCCCCTATTTTTCCAAGGAAAAATAGTGGGTTGGATAGGGGTTTGGATACGATTTGGATACGATTTCCTCTCCAACCCCCTGTTTTTCCTTTGGGAAGGAGCTAAAAGGCGATTTTGGCTCCTCCCCAAGGAAAAATAAGGGGTTGGATAGGGGTTTGGATACGATTTCGTATCCGAACCCCTATCCAACCCCCTATTTTTCCAAGGAAAAATAGGGGGTGGAATAGGGGTTTGGATACGATTTGGATACGATTTCCTCTCCAACCCCCTATTTTTCTTTGGGAAGGAGCTAAAAGGCGATTTTGGCTCCTCCCCAAGGAAAAATAGGGGGTGGAATAGGGGTCTGGATACGATTTGGATACGATTTCGTATCCGAACCCCTGTCTCTGCTCTGCTGCCCATGTAAGCATGTGAAGAGTCTAGAGTCTAGATGCAGATCCAATGGCAAGCTGGACAATGCGCAAGTGCATGCGCAGAATAGGCACAGCAGGTAGCATAGCCAGGCGGAGTCGCAGTTCTAGAATTACCATCTAGTACAACTCCAAGTAAATCTCCTAGTTATCTTGATAACTCACCAGCTCCCAAAGCTTTAGAATTCACGGTTGTTTGCATTTTACCGTATTAGAACCCCTATCGGAACCCCTATCAGAACCCGTATCCAAACCCCTATCCAAACCCCTATCCAAACCGTATCAAAACCGTATCCAAACCCCTATCTCATAAATACCAAAATACACCAATCGTATCCCCAGATCGTATCCAAATCGTATTGAAACCCCTATCAGGAAATTCTGATATGGGAACCCACACCTATATAACTAGAAACTCTTGGTTATAGGATCCCTTTAAAGGATCCCTCAACTCAAACCCCAAACCCTAAACCCTACAGTTTAGGGCCCAAACTGAGCCCATGATCGAGTTTCCGCAGGCCGGGCCAGGGTTCATTTCAGAACTAAACCCGAAACCCTAAACCGATATGGGAGTTTCCGAAAACAGGGGACCCTTATGGGGTTCCTTTAAAGGGTTCCTCAAAGGGATCTAAAAGGGTTTAGGGTTTAGGAAGTTTCCGAACACACGAAACCCAAATGTAGCACCCTGATTTTTTAGGATCCTTTTTGCAAGGACCCACAATAAGGTGCCCCTGATTTTCGGAGACTGCCATATCGGGTGCAGGTCTTCTAGGGCTTGGGGTTTTGGACATCCAAAGCAGTGGGTCTTCGGTCGGGTCTCAGCTGGGAAGGTTGGGATGGAGCATGGGTTTTAGGGTAGAGACTGGGGCTTCGATCTGTTTGGGATGAGGGTCCAGGGATTCATGATGTAGGGTTTTAAGGAATATGACTTAAGGTTTTAAGGATTTATGATTTTGGGTCTACGTCTCGGGATTTATGAGTTAAGGCTTTTGGGCTTAGATCTTTGGGATCGGGGTATAGGCTGTTGCGGCATGCGTTCTGAGGCTTTCGGTTCTGAGGATGGAAGCTGATACGGCGGAAGCCGCTATCATGGGTTCGCTTGCCAGCTCTTGGCGACTTCTCCGAGCAAGATATACCCTTCTGAAGTCCATGTTAGAAGATTTATCTGAAGTCCATGCTAGAAGAAGGACGTAATTTTAAGAACGACCCAGCAAGCAAACTAAGGTCGAGAACCCTTCGAAGACACCTTTAACAAGCTACCCACTACCAGCGCTCAGCTTTGCTCATACTCGTCCGGTTACCCCACGCCCTCCTCAAAAAACCACCATGCTGTGAATGCCAAGCCTGAGCCAGAAACTCTAAACCCTCAACCCCTCTATGGGGTGTAGGGTTTAGAAACCCTAATCCCTAAACCTTGGGGCTCGAGTTTTGAGTTTTGGGTTGAGGGCTTAGGCCCTAAACCCTAATCCCTAAGCCCTAAACCTTAAACCCTAAACCTTAAACCCTAAACCCTTAGATCTTCAGCCCTAAACTCGGATCGCGAAACCCAGGGCCATGAAGCCTAAAGCCCCAAGCACCAAAGCACCGGCCTGCCGGATTTTTCCACAGCGAGATAGACATACGCCAGAATGGTGGAGAGTTTCGGGTAGAGGATTCAGAGTTGGGGATTTTTTTGTTGAGCTCCTTTTCTCCCATCCCTTGCGGTCGGTGTAAAGTTTCGGGTATAGGGTTTAGGGTTCAGAGTTTAGGGTGTGGGGGTATATTCAGCGCCGCACATCCTCCAGCCAAAACCACAGAGCTCAAACTCCCACCGCCACGCGGAATGAAGCTGAGATGGTTCAGGCGAGGTAGGCCCAGATGATGGTCGTGTAGGCGAGGTTGATGAGGTAGCTTCATGCAGAAACAAAATCTCTGCCAACAGCAACGTGCTCAGTTGGAGCTGAAGAAACTCAAGTGGGCTTGCAGGTGCCGCCATCACAAAACCAGTTTGCTACCCCTGTTGCCTACTATTGGGTGTCCTTCGAGGTTGAGTGCAATACTATCTTTTGGTAGCCCAATTCGCCATGCACTCGGCAGGTGGAACTGGCCAACGTTCTGAAAGGCAGTTCTGGTCCCCAGCTTCCTCGCGTCGCTGCAGGACCGCAAGCTCTGCAAGCTCATCCGTGACAGCCTGGGCCCTCGACGCCACCACCAGTGGTGAAGGCGATACTGAAACAAGCTCATCAATCTCGTGTGACCTGGAGATGAGAATAAACACCGAGGATGGACAGGGCCTGAGCAATGCGGCAAGGACTGCTGGCAGAGCCTTCCGTGCCGCACGATCCTCAGGTGTCTTCGGTGCACTACCACCCAGAAAGCTTGAGCCCATGATGACATCAAAAGGCTCAGAAGAGGCTGCAAAGTCTCTCATCGAGCTCTGACTTCTGATGTCAAACGTGCGCACCGAAGTCGACCAACCCTGCACAGCCACACCTCCAAAAGAAGCTGTGTCCACGTGGCGGCGGTGTCGCCGAGCGGCGGCGAGGTTGCGGCGAAGAGCCCAGAAAGCAAAGGTCGAAACGTCGGTAGCAGTGACGTTTGCACCGTGGTAAGCGGCAACTGCCTCAGGAAGCCCCCGGTATTCCAGGGGATCTAGAAAGGCTCATCTTTGAGAGTATGCTCCTCCGAAAAAGTGGTGAAAGCTACCTAAACCCTAAACCCTAAGCCCTAAACCCTAAACCCTGAACCCTACACCCTAAACCCTACTCTACTGCCGAAGCTGCCGAAGGGAGACCGATGCCAGCGGCGATTTCTAAGACTCGCCTCTCTCTCCAAAAGTCGCGGCCAGCACAATTATCGGCCCAGCGAGACAATGCAGCCCCACCTTTGTAAGTAGAATAGGGGAGTTCAGGGTGTAGGATTTAGGGTTTAGGGCAGTTTAGGGTTTAGGATTTGGCGTTCAGGGTTGAGGATTGAGGGTTCGTCATAGTAGATCGATATTGAGGAACTCGAAGGAAGGCCGTTCTAATGACCAAGGCCCCCATATCGTCACACTTGTTCTGTGCTGCTCTGGAGCTGAATCAAGGTTAACTTTTCGGCCTTTGGGATTGTTTAGGAATGAGAATCCCCAAGGGTCCTATGTACTGATATGGTGGATACATCTTTAGGTCATAATGGTAATTCCTGATATGGAAACCCTACATTCCACTATATCGGTACATAGGACCCTTTGGGAATGCCGCACAGGTTAGAGGTTACTTACTCTACTACTGAGCCACCTTTCCAAAGGAAGCCACCGACCCAGAGCGGATGGTCCCCCTGCCAGTTGTAGTTTGGATGCTTGGCGTTTGCCATTGCCCACTCCCTCTCGCGTGCCCTCGCATCGGCTCGCTGTGACGCAGGCAGAATTGTGCCATCCCCCATGCCAAACCAAACCGTCCACTCATGGTAGACAGGAAGCACGGCCTCGTTTCCGTTCCTTTGTTGCTGAGTTCGCACAAAACTGTCGAAACCTTCCGTTTTATAGGGGGTACTATGACAAACTATGCAGCTTACTATTCCCTGAACCCTACACCCTATGGCCATCACCCAAAAGTGTAAAGTGCACCCACTCGGCTGCTAAGGACCCTAAACCCTAAACCCTAAACCCTAAACCCTAAACCCTAAGCCCTAAACCCTAAACCCTAAACCCTAAACCCTAAACCCTAAACCCTAAAGGCTAAGGCTCTTTGCCCAAAAGACGCAGCAGCGCCTGAAGTCAAACCCGTCAGACCAGCACTCGGACTTCTTGCTCCAGGGAACAGTAACCTGGGCTCTTCTTAAGGAACTTAAGGAATTTCAAAAATTTACCTGGGCTCTCGTTGAGGAACTTAAGGAATTTAAAGAATTTAGGGTTAAGGAATTTAAGGAATTTAATTCAATGATCTATAGTTCATAAACCATGTGGTTTCTTTTTTATGGTAACTTAAAACTAAACTCCTTAACAAGAGCCCAGTAACCCGTGAGTCGCAGCAGTAAGCCCAGGTGAATCCCATCGTCCAGCAGCTCGTAGACGTGGTGACGCCATGATAGAGGTAGTCCATGTTGGGGCTTAGGGTTATATGGGGGTTTCCGAAAATAGGGGGTACCTTATTCTGCGGGCCTTCTAATGAGAATCCTACTATTTAGGGCACTATATTAGGGTCCCCTCTTTTCGGAAACTCCCATATAGGGTTTGGCAGAAATGACGGAATGCGTGCCCCCTGGAGGAAGACTGATTGCTACGGCTCCTTTCTCGGTGGGATGGCCCCTGAGCCAAATTCCATCGGATGTCTCTGAGACACTCCAGCCTCAACGACCCCAAACCCCGAAGCCCAACCCCTTCTGAACTCCTACGCCCAGGATCCCTTAGTTAGAAGCGCAAAACCCACAATGATACCGCCTTCAATCCGACAAGGCCAACAACTCTGGTATTTCGAGTACTGCCCTGCTGCCCGAGCTGATGGTTATCGGCAACCCTACTATAATTTCAGGGATATTCGCTGCTTATGGGATATTGGAAGCTCTGGGCAAACACCACAGAAGCCGCCCTCCGGAGCTCCCACAAGCTCAAAAACTCCGAATAAGAGGCCCGAACCTCACTCCGTCCAACCCTGAGCCCGAAACCCCAAGACTAAAAAGGCCTAAAAGAGCGCGGAGTCTCAAAACAAAAAACAACTGAAAGGAAACACAAAAACATACCACACGAAGTAAACAAGACACAAACCACGTCCGCTCAGACTTACACACGCACATGTGTATCCGCATATTATACCATATGTATATGTATGTGTATACATATATACATATATATATATGTGGGTGTATATATATATATGTGTGTGTAAAGACCTATGGAACTATGTGCTCATTGACATATCTGTTTCTACCTAATTTGAATGCCCAGCTTCCGGAGATCCGGCCGGCGGAGGCGGCGGGGGCCGTGACTGCGAGCCGTCGCCGAAAGGCGGAGGCCCGGGTGGAGCACCTAAAAGCTTCAAAGCCTTGAGGGCCTTTCTTTGGGGAGGGGGAGGGGGGAGGGGAGTAGGGTGTTCTTTTTGCGTTTAGGGTTTAGGGCTTTAGTGCTTTAGGGTTGAGGGCTTAACGGTGTTCCCGAGTTTTAGGGTTTGGGATTTAGTGTGGTGATGTATTAGGAGTTTTTAGAAAACGGTGTTAGATCGGTTTAGATATACGCCTCGATGCAGAAACCTCTAAGAAGCGACGGCAGAGGGCAAAGGGCAGAAGGGCAGAAGGCCGAAGGGCAGAGCAGGGCAGGGAAGGGTAAAGTAGAAGCCAGAAAGTTGGAATATGATTATCCTAACCCCTTGATGGCAAATTATAGGGGATCCTACCATTAATCCATATTCCAACTTTCTGGAGTTCCCTTTAGTGCATAAGATGATACGGAGCTGTTAGCTTTTCGTCGGTGCTTGATTGTTTAAGATGTTGGATGCCTTGGATGGCTTTCGGTGCTTCCAGGTTTCTCAAAATGGAGAACCATGGACAGGACAAGACAAGACACAGAAATGCCGCAAGAAAAACTCTCTAGGTTTGCAAAGGCATAGTCTCTGGCCATCTGAATCTACACCCCAAGCAAGCCCTAAACCCAAAGTCCTAAACCCCTGAACCCAACGCGAAACCTAAGCGCGAAAAGACAACCTAAGCCCCAAACCCGCTGTACCTAAAGGCCCGAAACTCACATGCCACTCTCTCGGGGCGTGGCCGACAGGCCTCTGCCGATCCATGTCGTCGTGCCTTCTTCTTAGGTAGGCTTTAGAGTTCACGGCTGTAGGGCTTGGGGATCTAGGGCTCGGGGTACAGACTGTAGGAGATCAGGGTTTAGGGGATTTTGGGGGGTTTTGAAGACTTCTACGTTGTTCAACCAAGCCCAGCGCTTCAGAAAGCTCCAACTCAATAGTTACACACATAATAACTATGATCCTCAGATCCACTAGAGAAGTAGGAATGCAGATGCAAGAATGAAACCCGGTACGAAGGCACCAAGAGGAAGCATCAAGTTCCACTACTGTTGATGGTATAAACCTTGCATTACCCATAATAAGGAATATACCATAATTCCCACAGTCTAGGGTCATTATATCATCAACCGTATGTTGGGCTCAAGCCTAGAGCTGCGACCCTGAATCAGTAACAGGCAGAAATCCGGAACTCGCCATCGGTTTACGGCTTCAGGGCTTTGGGGCTGCAGGATTTGAAGGTTCCGGGCTTAGCGATGTGGTGTTTGTATTTCTGATTTTTGGTTTAGGGCCTGGTGCTCTAGAGCCTTAAATACTTGTAAACTTGCCACTGCACCCCGAATGCGAGAGTTTAGGGTTTAGGGGTTCATGGTTTAGGGTTGAGACCACAACCTGTATCGGAGACCATATGCCTGTACCTTGCAACAGCGTCGGCATGGACACGAAACCCCTAGCCTAGACCAAAAGTACCCAAAACTCCTCCACCCCTTAATCCCGTCTATAAAGAACCCGTGATACTTTTCAGTACTGATTTCCCCGACTTCTACGGCGCCTTTCTCCTAAACCTCAAACTCCAACTCCTAACCCTCAACCCTAAACCCCAAACCTACGGTTGATGAAACGAATCCTGCATGACCCATTATAAGGAATATGCCGTAATTCCCAGAGTTTACGGTCATTAAGGTAACTCCGGATTTATATCACCAACAATCCTAAACTCCTAAACCCTAAACCCTAACCCCCCCCCCTAAACCCTAAATCCTAAACCCCTAAACCCTAAACCCCTAAACCCCCCTAAACCCGTAAACCCGAAGCCCCTAAACCCCTAAACCCTAAACCCTCCCATATGCTCAAGTATTCCACGACCAGAGCCTGGTTTCGGGGCGAAGCCTGCTCTGCATCTTGGGTTAGGCTCCCAGGTTTTAGGATTTTAGGGTTTTAGGGCTTTAGGGCTTTTAGGGTTTAGGGTTTAGGGTGGCTTGCTCATGGCTGGGATAGGATGTAATGGGTTCGGCTCTCGGATTTGAGATTTTTAGGTTCAGAGTTCCTTGTTCGTGGTTGGGATAGGACTAAAGATGGATTTTCTTGTATTCTTTATTGGGTTTATATAAGTTAACATACAAATGCAAAATGTTACCCAACTATGACAAAGGTTCAAGGCTTTAGGGTTTTCGTGTTTCGGGTTTAGGGATTCAGGGATAAGTATTGGGGCACATGGTTGCGAGGGTAGGGTCCAGGGTTTGGGGCTCATGGTTGAGGGTTTCAGGTGTAAGGCATGAGGTTTCGGGTTGTGAAAGGTTTAGCGTTGCTGGTTAAAAAGGCTATGGGACAAGAGCCCAATACCTCTGCCCTTCGGTCGATACTTGCCACTGGGAGACAACTCGTCCCATGAACTTCGGCCAACCCATGTGATGATCGCTGAGAGTAGATATGGAATGGAGAGTATTCAGCGCTTAGGGTTCAACCTTTGACTTCGAACCCCCAAGCCCAGAACCATGGGCTTAGGATCTTACTTTAAGGGTCCAAAGGACCCAATAATTCGGCACTCGGGTTTAGGATGGTAGTTATGTAGGGTACTATTTTGGAGTGTATATGATAATCAGGTACTTGGACCCTTAGGATCTTAGGGTTAAGGGCGTTTTGGCTACTAGCAGGGGAAGGGCATCCGGTTAGGGTCGAGATCCCAACCCTAAACCCCTAAATGAGGGGCCGTCATAGTGTAGGAGCCGGCTTAAGAAACCCCGGGGCCTGTATTAGGGGTTTCTTATATGAATCCCCACAATTTTGGGGTTCTCGGCCGAGGGTTTTCTTAATCAGGTTCCTACATTATACAGGGCCGTCACAGGTTAGAAAGAGGTTTCGGGGCATGCCATGCTCGGTTGCTCTACACCAAAGCTCCTAGAGTCCCAACCCCCGGAGTCAAAAAAAACCCAAACCGCCTCTGCCTGCGCAGCAACATGCACAGATTGGGTCATACCTATACGATTCCTTAGGGTTTCCTATACTGCGTTCCTTTAAGGGATACTTTAAGGGTACTGGAGGGGTGTAATGTAGGGGCCTAAATGATTACCTGTACTATTTTGGGGGGTTCCTTAGTATAACTATAGTAAAATATGCCCCAAACCCCATTCTAATTATTCAGGTCCCTATAGTACTGCCCTCCATACATTAGCAGTCTATAAGAGGACTACTACTAGGACTCTTATATATCTGTACCATAAGTACTGCTTAAACCTTAAACCCTGAACCCGAAAAAAACCCTAAACCCTGTAGACCCTTAGCCCTCTGTACCCCGCTACAAGGCTAAACCAGCCGGTAGCACCACTGGCTCGCGTTCTGCCTGGCCGTCTAAGGGAAGCCATCCACAGAGGGCTTCGCTGTTGAGACAAAGGTTCAGGGGTTTAGGGTTTAGGGTTAGGGTTTAGGGTTTAAGGGTTTCAGGGTTCCGGGGTTTTACGGTTTTGGGCTTAGGGGTTAGGGATTTTAGGAGTTTTGGGTTTAGGGGTTCTGGGGTTTTGGGTTAGGGGGATTGAGATGCCCAACTTACCAAAACGCCTTGCTTGTTGGGTACCTCTAAATTTGTGCACCAAGTTCTATGTAGTGGCCCGTCCGAAACCTTTACGAAAAAGGAACTGCAATGGAGACTGGAGCACACCCCACACCTCATCCTACTTGCTAGAGCCCAGCCTCACAAAGTTTGGGGTTGCTCCCAGGAAAAGGAGGCTCAGGACCTAACCTAAACTATCAACCCTAAACCCTAAACCCTTGAACCTCTAAAACCTATACTAGAGCCTAAACGAGCGCCCTACAGGGTGCTGTTTGACTTCGAATTCTGTCCGTAACCGACTTGTCAACACCCTGAGCTTTTGACGTGGACCTTGAAGACAATACAGCACCCAAACTTCAATTGGAGCTTGCTGCGCACTACTTGTGGGTAGGCTCTAAGCAACCCTCCGACTTGCAACGAACATGCACATGATTCAGCAGATGGGATTGGATGGCTTACGGTTTAGAACGGTCTAGAGGCTCGGGTTTTTGCGTTTAAGATGTACGCCTTCAGGCTCCAAGGCTTGAGGTCTTAGGGTCCGGGGCTTTATCAAGCATAGCTGGCACCTGCAGTAGGTGAGGCCTGAACCCGAACTCCGGACAAAACGCATGTCGGCGTTGCTGCGCGTTCCGAGGATTTACCAAATTCCTGGGTGCGGCAGCTTGCTGAAACCGAGAACGCATCGACTCCAACCAAAACAACAGCTAGTGTAGTGGTATAGTAGGTGGCCGTAGGTAGTATGTCGTAGTCGCGATCAGAGTTGTAGTCGCAATCGTAGTCGTAGTCGTAGTAGTAGTAGTAGTAGTAGTAGTAGTAGTAGTAGTAGTAGTAGTAGTAGTAGTAGTAGTAGTAGTAGTAGTAGTAGTAGTAGTAGTAGTAGTAGTAGTAGTAGTAGTAGTAGTAGTAGTAGTAGTAGTAGTAGTAGTAGTAGTAGTAGTAGTAGTAGTAGTAAGTAGTAGTAGCAGTAGCAGGAGCAGGAGCAGTAGTAGGAGTAGGAGTAGTAGTAGTAGTAGTAGTAGTAGCAGTAGTAGCAGTAGCAGTAGCAGTAGCAGTAGCAGTAGCAGTAGCAGTAGTAGCAGTAGCAGTAGCAGTAGCAGTAGCAGTTAGCAGTAGTAGTAGTAGTAGTAGTAGTAGTAGTAGTAGTAGTAGTAGTAGTAGTAGTAGTAGTAGTAGTAGTAGTAGTAGTAGTAGTAGTAGTAGTAGTAGTAGTAGTAGTAGTAGTAGTAGTAGTAGTAGTAGTAGTAGTAGTAGTTAGTAGCAGTAGTAGTTGTAGTTGTAGTAGTAGTAGTAGTAGTAGCAGCAGTAGCAGTAGTAGTGGCAGTAGCAGTAGCAGTGGCAGTAGCAGGAGCAGTAGCTGCAGCCGTAGCCGTAGCGGTAGTGGTATCGGTAGCAGTAATGGGGTGTATGCAGTCGTAGTATAGCAGTGGTTGTGCTAAATGTTAGTAGCTGTAGTAGTTGTTGCAGGAGGGGGACGAGGAAGAGTTAACATTGACTACTCACCATATTCCCTGAAGAGGTAACCCCGCAGTACTCCTGGCAACATGACTTCTGACGTGCAGCTGACATTCCAAAAATTGTGGTTGGTAAGCCAGGGACGATACTCGAATACACTCGATTTGCCTGCTGTTTTCAAAAGCTTCCGCAGATGCCGATGATGTACAGGAGTGTGTGGCGCATGTGATTGGATGGTACGATCATGTGTTAGAGTGACTCAGACACCGTGCCTGCCTCGTGTGATTGGATGGTACGATCATGTGTTAGAGTGACTCAGACACCGTGCCTGCCTCGTAGGAGCTACTGTTTACAGGGCCGTTATGAAGATATTTGCAACTTCTTCTTCTTCTTCTGGGTTTAGGGTTTAGGGTTTAGGATTTAGGGTTTAGGGTTTAGGGTTTAGACTTCTTCTGGCCGCCAGGCTGCAAAATTTCGTTTCCTCGCTCCTGCATGGCAGCCACAGAGCCGGTGTGCAGAACCCTCAACCTTCAATCCTGGTATTTCTAAGGGTTCAATTTTAGGGGTTCCGTGGAGGGTTCCTGTAAGGGTTGCTTTGAAGGCTACCGTTTGGGATTTAAGGGTCTAGAGTTTAGGGTTTTGGCTTCAAAGGGCACTGAGCTTAAAGTTGTTATAAAGGCACTGTAGGCTTACTACGTTGTGCGGCGTGCATTCACACGGTCTAGGATTTGGTGGTTCGACTTTTTGGTGTATCTGCGCCAAGTGTGCCTGTCGAGGTACTGCCGTAAACAAGTTTGACAGTCGGGAAGGTCTACATACAAGAATACACACTTCTGGCGTCTCGTGATTCTCTGAGTAAACTAAACCAGCAGGCCGCATAGGAAGCCCTGCCAAGCCTTAGAATCAAGGTGTCCTCTGACCCTTAAACCCAAGGTTACAACGAGCAGGAACGTCAATGATCAGCAGAAGTGCTAGCAAGGGCCAAGATCCGTCTGCTGTGGTTTCGGGTTTGGGGCTGTTGGGGTCTGGGCCCCTCCTTGCCCGTCGGCGACGGGTTGCTCGGACGCACACCGACGTGCGGCACAAGCGCCGCCACAGCCGGATCCTGGAAAGGGAAAGAGTTTGACATGAGTTCTGTCCCGTTCTATACAGGGTTCGATAGGGGGGGGGGCGGGGGCATAGGGTTTCACAAGAGTTTTATTATATAGTAGTAGGCTTTGGGGGGGGACCCAATTTCCAGAATGAACATTATAAAGAACCGCAAGGCATAGTTTTCGTCATCATGCAGGCCCCTAAAGTAGGATTCTATAACCCTAAACCCTAAACCCTAAACCACCAAAACCCTAAACGGATCGAGAGGACTTCATCAGAACTCCTTCAGGAGTTGATGGCACAGGGTCTGAAGTCTAAGGCCTATGGGGTTTCAGGCTTCATAAGAGTTCTATACCGGGTAAGTTTAGGGTAGGTCCCGGGGTAGGATTTTCTTTCTTTAGGATATGTGAATGCTTTAGAATAGAGGGTTCAGGAAGGGCTGTAGGGAATCGGGAATATGGGCGGACATGTGGTGGCCTCCGACAACTCACAGACTCAAGATTGCTAAGACTTTGCCTTAGACGTAGCAAGCCTTTGACACTTGACGAGAGGATATCGCACTAAACCACACCTCAATCGGATAGAAACCTGGACCCTAAGACCTAAACCCTTAAACCCGAAACCCCTAAAACCTTAAACCCTAAACCCCAACACCCCCATTCCAGAATCCCAAAACCCGAAACTGTGAAATCTTCACCGTCCCAGCGGCTGCAACCACGGCATCCCTCCCTGCATCTTCGCTCAGCGAAGTGAGGCTCATCGCCGGGAGCGGTGGCGTATGCGGGGCGAACCTCAGAAGGCAACATAGCGGACATAACCATCAGAATAGGGCTTTGGGGGTATAAGATAAGATACTATATTTACAATAAAGTGGCCCTGTAAACCCTGCACAGCGTGTAAATCTCACAAACCCCATCTTCTAAAGAATATGTCTATGTCTATGTCGGTACAGTATCTATATCCATATCGATACCGATAGCGACATATATGTCTATTTCTATAATCTGTATCATATTGTCTATGTCTATATGTATATCTTTATCGTTGTCTATCTACCTATATATATATATAGATGTGTATATATATATATGTAAAGATAGATAGGTACATAGGTGGACAGAGCTCATGAACCCGAAGCATGGCTCGGCTCTGAACTGAAACGCTTGCCTCCGAGTGGCTGAGGACTTCCAAAAGGTGGGGATCGTGCCGCCATGTGCGGGGAAGACCTTGCCTGCAGACTGTCAGGGTTTATAACTCGGATTAGGGTTTAGGGATTTATAACCCTACACCCTAAACCCTTAGGGATTTATAACCCTACACCCTATAACCCTAAACCCTAAAGGGCTTTGACCCTGGGCCCTAAACCCTAAACCTTAAGGTTTCGGATGTAGGTTGAGGGTCTCATTCGGGGTTGCGTGGGCTTTTTGCCTCAGCCCTCGCTGCACACCTCCTACCTCGGTGAGGGTTTAGGGTTTAGGGTTTAGGGTCGTCCTACCTTGGTGATCCAGCGTCAACCCTACCCTGGGCTCCGGTTAGGAAGGCCCGAAAACGGATGCTTCTTAAATAGTGGGACTGGGGCTAGACAAACCATATGTAAAAGGAAGCAAGCCTCTTTAGCATGGGGCGAAAACCCGAACTAGTCTATACTGAACTTAGAACCCTAGCAAAAACTGTAATTTTAGCTGTTTCTTAGGGATTATAATAACCAAAAATTAAAAAAAAAACTAGGCACCCCTAAGTTGGTCTACAAAGCCTGAAAGGAGCCCTGTAAAGAACCCTGAAACTGAAGCTCCTGGGCTTCTGAATGCATCGATTTGTCAGACTTTGGGGCTTTGGGCTTTGGGGTTCGCGGGTTCGGGGTTTAAGGTTTAGGGTCGGCGGCTTATCGGCCCTGATTGATATATAGAGCTCAGAGTTCGGACCAGAAGTGGACGAGAAGCAGTAAGCCGCAACCCGTAAACACAAAAACCCTAGACCTTTCAACTAGAAAAGCCCTTCCATAAGAAACAGCCAGGCGCTAAACCCTAACACCCCCATGCTAAACCCTGAATCCTCGCACTCTAAACCAGAGATCGGAGGAGTGTTCTCCCTTTTGGGAAAATAGACAGGCCGCTACAACCTAGGACCCCCTACCTGATCTGGCCAGGCTTTCATTACGGTACCTGTGCAACAAGGACAACCTAAACCCTAAACCTCAAACTTTCAACCCTAAAACCCTAAACCTCAAACATCCTCAAACTTTCAACCCTAAAACCCGGCCTCCCCATGCATCCCCACCGCAGCGCCGGGCATGGTACCCGGCATCGAGACCGGGGGCGGCCCGAACTCGGGCCTTTTATCAGGGAGAATGTAGGCTTTGGCTTTTGCCAAGGGCCTTATGCTTTAGATCATGTTATTATGGGGCTCAGGCTGGGCTCAGGGTTTAGGGTGTAGGTTTTAGGGGGAATCTTAGGCTTTTTTGCACAGTACCTTGAGCTTCAGATCGTGTTATGGGGTTCAAGGTTTTAGAGGGTTCTGCGAAGGCCTGTCAGATCAAGGGAATTTAGGGATTTACTGGGGCCTTATACGGCTGGTTTAGATAAGGTTACGTAGAATGTTTTTGGATGGTTGTGTCTAGGCTTTGGCAAAGTGTCGAGGTAGATGGTTATGGTGTGAGGGGATCGGATAGTAGTTAGGATTAGAGCTTGTAGGGTTACGGGGTTGGGGTTTAGAGTGGAAGGGTTTTGGGAAATGGTGTGAGCGATGGTAACAGCTCTCCTAAACCCTCACTAAAGAAGAAGAGGTAGCAACGGGAACCCTTAAACCAAAGTGACTCAACATGCAAGCAAACCTCAAACAATTAACGGGAAGCCCTAAACCCTAAACCCTAAACCCTCAATCAATTAACCGGAAGCCCGGTAAACCCTGAACCGGAAACCTGAACCCACATGCAAGAGGTCCCTGAACCCTGCAAAGTAGACACCCTGGGTGGAGGCTCCGCTTACTTCATAAGCAACGGGGCTTTTGGGTTTAGGGTAGTTGCAAGAACTCTATACTGAACTTAGAACCCTAGCAAAAATCAAACTTTTAGCTGTTTCTTATAGGGATTATAATAACCAAAAACTAAAAGTCATTTCTAAGTACGCCTACGAGAAGTTCTGATGCAACCGAAACGCTAGTTGCGAACTGAGCCGGGAGATCCCTGGAACCCCCTGTTGTCCTTATATGCGAGTAGTGTACCCCAAGGCCATATCGAAAACCAAAAACTATGAAGGCCCGTAGACAAGAACCCCTCCAAGTAACCCTTACAGAACCCTTACAAGAACCCTACTAGGATACCCAGTAACCTAAGAATAAAAAGGCCTCTCTTTTTGGTATTGGGCAACTTTATAAGGAACCTAGGACTAGAAAAAGGGAATAAGGGTACTACTGGGCATCCTAGCCTATCCTACTTATCAAGGCTCTTATCGTAGGTGGTTGAGCCTATGTGGGAGTTTCCGAAAATAGGGGTAGCTTATAATAAGGATCCTACTATTTAGGGTACTATATTTGGGTCCCCTATTTTCGGAAACCGCCATGTGAGCCCCAGGTCCCATAGTGAACGCCATACCGGACGGCTCAAAGAACCCAAAAGCCTCGCTATGGTCTTTGGATCCACCAGCCTCAGAATATCACTTAGTAATTATTTACTATTATGGTTCTCTACAAAAATAATAGGCGAAATTAAAAAAGATCCCAAAGGACAACCCAGTTAGAGCCTAAGGGATACCCTAACCCCTGAACTCCGAACCCTAAACCCTAAACCCCAAACCCTGTAAACACGATAGACCCTGAACTCCGAGCCCGCCTGTTCACGTGCGAGCTCGATCCCCCGAGCAGCTCCATGATCGACTGAAGCGAGGCCAGAGATGGAAGTAGCAGTTTTGCAGTTCAGCATTTAGGTAATACCCAGGGGCCCCAAAGTAGTTCCTTTTTGGGCGTGTCCTCCTTTTTTGGTTAGGGACTCTAATATACTACCCAAAAAGGAACTACTTTGGGGCCCCTGGGTATAGGGACCTTAATGAAACTGAGATGTAAGGGTTTGGAGAGCCATGGTGCTATCATTATGAAGCTGCAGTCGGTTTAGCGTTTGGGTAGGGGTTTGGGTTTTGGTTATGGTTTGGGGTTCGGGTTTTAGGGTTTAGGGGTTTAGGGTTTATGATAAAGGGTTTTGGGGTTTTGGGAAGTTTGGGGTTTGTCAGGTTTTGCCGTTTCGGGTTTGGGGTTCAGGGTTCTTCGTCTGAAGTTTATGTTCAGCTTCACAGCACTGTAGTGAGCAATCCTCTCAACAGCAATACACCTAAACCCTAAACCCTACACCCTAAACGGCTATAATTACACGGAGGGGCGCCTACCCTCATCCCCAACAACAAACCCTCAACCGCCTTAGACTACCCTGGACCGACCCGCATCTTGAAAGCCCCCTCCCCCATCCTAATCCACAAAACCTAAAGGACCAGCCCACCTTACAATGCCAGTCCAGCTTCCCTCGATCTCTGATTCCCGCAGCCTAACAGCAAGCACGCAGTCATAGCACACGAACCCTGCCCTCAACCCTAAACCCCTAAACCCCTAAACACTAAACCTCAAACCCCGTAAGCCCCGAAAGCTCCGAAACCCATGCCTTGGTAGGGACGCGAACCGGCCGGATGTTCTTCGCCTGTGGCTTGGGGTTTAGGGTTTAGGGTTTCGGGCTTAGGGTTTAGGGTTTCGAACTACGCCTCTTCCTGAACCACTCGAAAAGGTTTGGGGTTTACGTGGGGTTCAGGGAGTAGGGGTTTGGGGTTTAGGGTTTAGGGCTCACCTTTCTACACGGACACCGAGTTATCAATCATAGAGCCTTACAAGACCCTTCGACCTGGAAAGCAAACAACGGTAGAACTTAGAACCCTACCTGGTGCCTCACAAAACCCGTTATAACCAAAACACCTTTCGAAAAATCTAAACCCTAAACCGCATGACCTTTACAGAATCCTTTTTGATTACCCAGATTGGCCTGAGGCTGGTTTTTGTCCATCTCGATGTCGAAGATGACTTTGTCACCCATGCGCAGCTCCTGGTAGGGACAGGGGGAGTCCTTTCAAGGAGCCTGCAGGGACGTCTTGAAGGGTTTAGGGCTTACCTTAGCCTCGAATAACCTACCTGAGAGGATTTAAATGAGGAAATCATAATAAGGAACCCTAAAAAGGTAGGTTCTTTAGGGTCCAGGTAGGGTTTAGGGTTTAGGGCTTAGGGTTTAGGGCCTCCTAAAAAGGCTGAGGGCTTTAGGGTTTCGGGTTTAGGGCAGATTAGGCTGTATAGGCTCCTTTAAGGGCACGATGAGGTGTTTAGAGAGGTTGCTGAAGGCGTCCAAACATGCGGGTCATAGTGATCTGAAATCACTACAAGAGAGCTTCCTGCTAGGGGCCTCAATGCTGAAAGCAGTCTTCTCACGGACACTATGTTTAAGCAAGGTTAAACACAGGGATCATCATCATCATCATCATCAATATTCGTTTCGGGGTATCTATATCATGTATTTTCAATTGAGGAAAGGTGCTGACAATTTATCAAGCTCCTACAAAAGCTCCTACAAGAGGCGGTTAATTAGAGGTTTGGTGTAAGACTTAAGGATTCTTCACGGGGGAAACCCCGAGCTGTCCTGAAGCTGCTCTCGCGTTAGGAGCACGTCGCACTTGTATCTCCTGGCTTCTTTCGCGCGACAAAAAGGGGTTCCTTCAGGGTTTAGGGTTTAGGGTTTAGGATTCAGGGTTTAGGGTTTAGGGTTTAGGGTTTAGGGTTTAGGGTTTAGGGTTTAGGGGTTTAGGGTTTAGGGTTTAGGGTTTAGGGTTTAGGGTTTAGGGGTTCCTTGACAGGGATCTCATACTCAGGTTCCTACCATCATGTTCTGCTTTACAATAAATCCTGGCAGTAAGAGTCCGTCTATCCTATGCCCTATAGAGAAGCTGTTGACCAGCGCAGAACCATCGTCCTCACCAGACATGGCACACCGCTAGAGAGTCCATATTGCAAGGCTGCGACTATGATGAGCCTCTACTGGGAGGGTGTGGGGACTTAGTAAGTAGGTAATAGGTAGACTGATCAGGACGCTAATTGGGATTATGATACTGCTAAGAGTGTATTTAAAGATTACCTACTAGGTCCAAGTAAGGCCTTACAACCTTACAGTCCGACACCTCGAACGCTTTGACACAAGCCGACATTCGTGTTCAAGTCTTCAGGGTCACTCTGAAGCCATCCAAAACCCTAAAACCCTAAACCCCAAGCTTGGCGCTAAACTCTAAAACCGTAAACCCTAAACCCTACACCCTAACACCGATCTGATCCTGAAGCTTACAACTCAAAAGCAAAAACTATGAAGCTCCCCGGTCACAACCCCGATCGACCACTCGGAGACACACCGCTGATGAACGAAATCCGGCGTTCACATGGTTATCAGGCTGTATAAGGATTGTATCTAGGCTTGCATAAGACGCATTACCAAGCCAAGCCAAGCGACTCATGTGCTGCCAGACATCGGATCCAGCCAAAACCTGCCCGAAATGGCATGGTCAGCGCGTATCCCGACGGCTGACGGGTTTAGAATCGGTTACCGCGTATGATTACACTACACCCTCAAAGGGCCTTCATTCGGTTTTCTAAGACCCCGAAGTCCGCCCACAGGCAATGACCTGTGCCAGCTCGTCCCTATTCCCTTGAGACTTAGGGTTTCGGCTTCCTTAACACCCTCAACACCAAGCCCTAAACCTTGAACCCTACGGTTGATGATATAAATCCTGCATTACACATAGTCAGGAATAGACCATAATTGCCATAGTCTAGGGTCATTAAGGTAATGCAGGATTTATTATATCATCAACCGTAGTACGGCTTTCGGGTTCCCTGCCTTGCTCACGATTGACACACTTCACGAAGCCCTCCTCCATCGTCCTGACAGGGTGCGCTCTGCCCAGGTCTGGCGACCCCGGGAACAGCTTAGGTTTGCTTAGGGCTTTTAAGTTTGGGGTTTAGGGTTTAGGGTTTTATGGTTTACGGGTCGGTTTAGGTTCGGGGTTTAGGGTTTTTGAGTTTAGGGTTTAGGGTTTAGGGATTTATGGTTTATGGGTTTTCGGTCAAGGTTCGGGGGGGCGGGGTTTCGGGAATAAGGATAAGGGATCTACGGTGTAGGTTTTGGGGTTTAGGGTTTCACTGGGTGGCAGTACATAGGGCGTTCGTAAGTCCAAGGGTTCACATAGCCAATCACCAGATACTCCCCCAAATACTATAACCTGAAGTCCTACTATCCTACAACCAAGTACCTAATTGTTGGGTCCATATGGACCCTTAGAGTGACGCCCGAAACCAACGCACAATCCCTAGAAGCCTGAAACCCAAAGAGCTGAGCCCCCCAAAAGTGAAAACCTTGAGCTCAAAGAGCTGCACAATACAAGCTGCCCCCACCCCGCAATAGTGACTAAAAGGATTCTATTAAGGCCCTATTATATTGAGAGCGGTGTCTTGACCGCCAAACCCCAAACCCATTAAACCTAAGATCAAGCCCTACAAAACTTAATTAGGCCCCCTGAACCCCAAACCTATCAAAACTCTTACAAAAGCCTACAAAACCCTTAGACTTCAGGGTCGAGCCCTTAAGGGTTGGGACCTTGATGCCTGAAACCCTAAACCCTGAACCTTAAACCCTGAACCGTCCCGACCTAGTACAGCCACGGCTGACGTCGTAGAGGCCCAAATGGAGGAAGCCGAGCTTCGCGATTAAAGCTTGCAGTTTCGGGTGCGTCACTAACCTGTATAGGTTTCCGTCCTTCTAGAAGTCCTGAAAAGGTAGGTTATTTGGGAATGAGGGCTATCTTGAGATCTGGGTTTGCCAAATAGATTACACAAATCACTTGTCCAAACATTGAGGCCCCGAACTTCTTGCATTGAAAAAAACGCCGCGTGTGGCTGGCAGGGTGCCTTTTTCCTGAGGTTTGTGCTGGTTGGGGCTCCGTCAGGAGATTCCTCTACTTTAGACCTAGTCTATCCTTAGAAAATAAACCCTGGATCATCCTCCTCCTCGATCGTATCCTGGGTGTACCCCGGGTGTCTGCTGCTTTCGTGAGGCCACATGCACAGCAACATGCCAAGCAAGGGCTGAGCCGCCGCCAGCGATGAGTCAGTTCGACCCAAAAGGCAAGACCATAAGCCCTAAAGTGGCGAAGGTACACCCTAAAGGTTTCGGGGATAGGGTTACAAAGGTAAATACCCGTAACTTCCTAAGCTCTAAAAAATGAAACCTTAAGCCTTAAGCCTTAGACCCAACCCGTAAATCTTAGGAACCACCTCTGAAGCTCAAGCCCACGGCACTCAGCACCGACCCAAAAACCCGGAAAGCCACAATCCTCAACTAAACCCTAAGCCTAAACACTAACCGCCACCCAATAACACAGCGGCCTCAACAAAAATGACAGCAGGTTTTCGGGATGTATCATATTATGGTGATAAGGGGAGCTTTAAGGAAGCGTCAGATTTCTATCGAGTTCTAAATAAACGCAACAGTCCCGGAGCTCACCGCCTGGACTTCGTAACTTGACTCAGGGTCTAGGCTCCGAGGTCTTATCACTACTTCAAAGTTCAGCGGCGTTACCAAAAAATGGGTGAAGGTCCCTAAGCCTGAACTCTAGACCCATCCTGACTTGGGGCAAGAAGTACTTGTAAGTCTACAGTACCTCCCAACCTGTGGGGTCTAGGCAAAACTACAATCGGAGACTTCAACCGCAAGAAAGCTGACACTTTAGGCCCCAATCCTGCAGACATGAGCCACCAACTCCAAAAACCTGCAGCCCAAACCACCGACGCGACCGATTTTCTCGAGGGGCGGCGTCACATGCTAGCAACCATAGGTTGGGCAACTTTTGGGTTCGTGTCTTAGGCTTTTTAGTGGTTAGGGTGTAGGGTTTAGGGGGGTCGGAGATGTTCTGTTCAGAGATCCTGATCGCCAAACCTCTGGACCCTACGCACTTAAACCCTAGACCCTGAACTCCCAAGAGGTATTGAGTCTTTCGGAGTGTAGCTTGCAAGCCTGCTTCGGCGGCTGAGGGCTGAGGTTTAATAGGTTTATACAAAGTCAAACGCGGTGCATAGGTTTGCTGAAATACCCGGCGGCCTTTGGTGCGTATGGTTTCGGTTTTCGGGGCTGAGACTGAGCCTAATGTACAACGATGCAGCCGTCTCATTGTCAGCGCTGCATCAGCGAGAGCCTCTACAACAGCGCTGGGGGCCATTGAAGAAGACGAGCTTTTGCGGTTGCGGCCTAACGGCTGTTGATCTCGCTACTTGCTGCTGACATGAACAACCGTGACAACTAAAATAACTGTATGTAGTCCTGCAGTTGCTCGTACTACGTTGTTGATGATGATGGTGATGATGATGATGATGGTGACGGTGATGGTACTCGAAATGATCCTAAAAATGACGACAATGATGTATAACGACATTGAAGTGTGATGGTGCAGCTATGGCCAGTAGTTCCTGTTGTTATGCGTCTGAACCTGACGACTCTATCTGCTGCTCCTGTTGCTTATCTTCTTTCATTAGGTTCTGCCAATACTGGTAACATCAAGGACTGCACAAACACGGAGGTTTGCCCATCCCGGATTCTGGTAGGGGTCCTCCTACCGCTGCTGGAAAAAATCCTGCATCCTGCACAACAGGGAACACACCCTGAAACCCATGGTTTTACTGTACTACGGGCCGTGCAGGATGTTGGCCATCAACGGCGACGAGCTATCACCAAGCACCGGCTGTCCTTGCTCTGTCTCAGAAGACAAGATTCCGAAACAAAATGTTCATGGATGCCTCAACCCACCAATTACTACTCCTGCTCTTACTACTACTCCTACTATAGCACTCCTACTACTCCTGCTAGTCCCATTCCTACTACTAGTTTTCCTGCTGGTTCTGCTCAGCCTACTCTCTCTACGTACTCTACTGATTCTGTTTGTTCTGCTCGTTCTATTTACTCTACTTTTTCCTGCTTAATATGCTTTTTGCTCTGCCGGCACTACTACTACTACTCCT